CTTGCTACTTCAAGCACCATTTAGGCCCCTTAGCTGGTTGCGTTTCATTGACGATATAGAGATGAAGTGGGTGGAATGTCGCGAGAGCCTCGAGGCATTCATTTCGTTTGCCAACACCTTTCATCAGTCTATCAAATTTACAGTAGACGTATCTAATTCGAAAAACATATTCCTAGATACTACATCTACCCTGACTGACGGTGAAATCGAGTTCAGTCTCCACACGAAACCCACAGATTCCCATCTGTATCTTATGCCAACTAGCTGTCATCCCCCACACACATTTAAGGGTGTGCCTAAGGGTCTAGCCACCAGAATTCGGCGCATCTGTTCATCCCCTGCCTTATATCAAGAACAAAGCGGTCTCCTTAAGTCCCACTTATGCAAGAGAGGCTACAATGCCCGCACCGTACAAACTGCTATTGATGAGATGGCGGGACATGACAGGCAAAACCTATTACGCTACAAGGAAAAAGACAATAGCGGCAGGGTCCCTCTGGTAACCACATACCATCCCGTCCTTAAGAACCTCAGCGGTATCCTTCAAAAGAATCTGCCAATTCTCCACTCAAATAAACGAATGGCAGAGGTCTTTAAGGAGCCCCCATTGGCTGCATACAGACGCCCGAGGAACCTGAAGGACATGGTAGTAAGAACCAGATTGGACAATCCATTACCTAACGGGGGCTTTAAAACTTGCTCTGACAGAAGATGTCTTCTCTGTAAGTACAGCTCTGACACAGACAGTTTTAACAGCCCCGTTACAGGCCGCAGCTACAAAATACTAGGGAATTTGTCCTGTCAAACAGACAACTGCATTTATCTCATCAGTTGCAAAGTTTGCTCCAAACAGTATGTTGGTGAAACAGGAGATCTTCGCAGGAGGGTCAATAATCACCGTTCTACCATTAGGATCAAAAAACTCAATGAACCCGTTGGGGAACATTTCAACCTTGAAGGACACAAATGGGAGGACATGACAGTAGTGGTTATTGACCATAATCCAAGATGGACAGACGCGCAGAGAAAAGGCAAGGAAAAGTTCTGGATGCACAGGCTGAAGTCATTCCGCCCTAATGGTATTAACAAACTTAATGACTTCACCAGGATGAACGTGAACTAGACCCAATCCCGGATTGTAACAAACAAGTTCATTCTCTCTATATAGTGTAAACTTTACCGTTAATTCGTATCAGTAATCCTGGAACAACCTACCCAAATATTTACAGCTCACATTTTTGTTTATTTCTTTTTTCCGATTTCCAAATTTATAATATATCCAAATTCATATTTCAAAATAGTCCTTCCATATTATCTTTCTTTAATTTCTTTTTATCATGTAGAGTTACGCTATTTTGAGAGAATAAGACAATGTACGATTTACTGTTGGCCGTAATTAATTAGCGATAATTAATTCGTTCAATTATGTAAATCACACTTCACCAGACTACACCCGATAGACCGGACGCAATTCATAGCGCTCCGGATTTCTTTGTTCACAACTGTTTATAAACTCCAAATTAAACATGTAACATTGTAAATATTTAGTGTTTGGTAGTTTAGTAGTAGTGCTAGTTGTTTTTGCTTCTCTATTTCCTTTGTTTTTATGACTTCTTAACTTTTTTCTTTGTCCTGAGGAAGGGACAGGTTGTCCCGAAAATTTGACAATTATTATTGTTCGTGTCGTTGGTCATTTTTAGTGCTTTATATATATATATATATATATATATATATATATATATATATATATATATATATATATATATATATATATATACATTTATGGTATCTCTCTCTTATATAAACATGCAGAGAGCAAATATCTTCATACCTGTATGAAGTTTTTCGAAGGTCATAGGTCATTACGTGACCTAATCACACAGCGCAGTAATATCTACATAAAAAGACTTACTTAGCAATATAGCATGTTTTTCATGCATAAAAATGTACAAAATACGCAAGTAAAATAATAGGCCTAATCATTTTATTTACAATGTAAACGAGTATTTAATACAGTTCTTGATCGATTTTACATACAGAATAGAAAACTACGTGTTATAAGTTTCATGTCTGAGCTGCATAGTCTCAACGTTTACCCTTATTTTTCTCGCAGACCTCTGAATGCTATAATTTTTTTTCATTAAACTTTACTCACAATAAATTTGAAAATCTGTTGAAAAACATCAATGTAATTCAATCACGCCACAAACAGCTGACAAACACTGCACTTTGGAAGTTCGGTAGGCACACCTCCATCATGGAGATCGTTGTGACGTTGTCTTAACAATGTAAGCTGTCGCCAGTGTCTCCATGTCAACATCATAAATTAATAAATATGCCTGACTGAAATCGTACATTTTGTGTTTTTGATCAAATTTTGTACTTGATTTCAAGTTATCTGGTCCGGACAAGTGTCTCCATCCATCCCTTTCCGACCGAAATTCCTCCAACTTTTTATTATCAAACATCGGACTATTTCTTGTGTTTTTTAACATCGAATATGGGTTCTAATGAATACAAAAATTCCCAGACACCAATATGCTCACTATAATTGATCACAAGTAGCCTTTCACAGAATATTCCCTTCAAAACAGAATCCTTTGCCAGATGGATTTGAAGCGTAACCGCTTTTCAAGCCGATTTACACCTAGCGTAATTTGTCAAAATCTACGACGTACAGTTAGTGCAATATTTATATTCGATTACATTCGATTGTCCCTCTCAAATGTATATATAAGTAATAAATAACAAGTTTAAAAACATCAATGGGAATTGAAGTGGGTCGGTACGTGATCAAATCTTCTGAGAAGGCCTTCGGCCTTCACAGGATTTGATCACGTGACCAACCCACTTCAATTCCCATTGAAGTTTTTAAACTTGTTATTTATTTCTTAAGTATATAAAATCAGCTACGTTAAGGAAGGCCTGGGTTAACATCTGCGATGCAAAGTATTGGAAGTTTCATTGTGACGTCATTAAAAATTTAACAAGTGACTAAAATCTATTTAACCACATGATAATGCGTAAATAACAACTTGCATTCATATATTTTTTCAATTATTTATAAAAGCATATAAAATCAAAACATTTGATAACAATACTGCCTAGTTTTTAGAAGCAAATCTTGTGTCATAAATGACGTCGCTAGCCTTGACTTGACGCAGTACAAGTGATCCAGAGGAGTGGATCAATTGGTTTAATAATTACAAAAATGCTAAAATAAAAATAAAACCAACGCTGATGTTTAAATCTAATCAATAAAATTAAAAGAAAATAATTCATTTAAAACAATAATCTAGATTATCAATTTATCTAGGTGCTATGGAGCTGCGCACAAAGAGAGAAAATGTAAAGAATATTGCATATCCAATAAGTGTATACCTGATAAACCTGAAAATGCAAGGGCATGGACTAGACTGTTTGAGCTGAAATATGGAATATCAATTGCTTGTATCATGTATATTTTGAAAAGTGCTGGGAGCTGATTCTGCTCGGCATAACATTATTTTTATTCATGGCAGAATTTAAGCGAAGTGGAAATTTTGAGCTATTATACGCATTTTCGGCAAAATAACGAGCATTTCCAAAACAGCTCAAACTAGCTCCCAGCACTTTTCAGGAAGCCAATGTAAATCTTTTTTAATATGTATCAATTTTTTCCTCCAAAAACATGCCCTTGCACTAGCCTCATTTTCTACATTCAGATGAATAATTCTATTTTTATACAAGTCACGTGACACACAGCTGATACATGCGATGTAAATGGTACTGAGTAAGTCACAAACCTATCCATTATGGATATCTATTTTACCTTTCCTACATGTTTAAAGGTACTTTGTCAAAAGATTTTTTAAAATAATACGTATTAAGAATGTACCAAGATCGCATTTTCCATTTCCTTCCTTAACATAGGCGAGTATATGTAAATATATATATATATATATATATATATATATATATATATATATATATATATATATATATATATATATATATATATATATATATATATATATATAATTATAAAGATATGCAGCAGAAAGCTTTTTCAGTGTAAGATGGACGGACGGACGGAGTTTGGATAGATAGATAGATAGATAGATAGATAGATAGATCAATGAGTTCCTCTTATCATCATCATTGTTTCTTTAAGTGGTTCGCCTCCAGTCCAGTAATGCCATACCATGTATTTTGGTCCTTTTTCACCGACTGAGTCTCTATATTTCGCGTTTAGATTTGAGTAACTACATTGATAGTACCACTAAGCACCATGGCGCTCTGTTGCACAGCGTCGCCCAAAATATGCAGCGTCATTGTCTTTAGTAGAAAATCTTTTTTTTTATTGTGATAACCCAAACTGTTACCTGTAACCGGATATAATCATTCTTTTAAAATAACAGATGACAAATAAATCTTCATTTTTGATCTGAGGAATTAGTTGCATTGTTGTGAAGTGAAGTATATTCATATAATCATTTTTGTATTCATCAACACTTTTTTGTAATATTATTATAGAACAGAAATGGTTAGTTGCATGTGACAATAGATATTTACATATTTCATATAACTTTTTGATTAATTAATTGTTTGTAAGTTGTTTTCCATCTTTTGTGAGAATTGTTCACTCATGGAAACCACCATATACATCTGAAGGGCTTCCAGGTAAAACGTTTATTCGGCACCATGGGCCACTGAGCAGAGAGAGCTGCTTATCGTGCCAATGCCTACCCTGACACGTCCCTCGGTTTTTAAGCTCTCGCCCGAAAGACCCGTGATTTTCACTTCTAGCATAGGATGCTTGGCAAAGAAACAGCCACAACCTATGTTTAAGTCTTAGGTTTGACATGGAGCCGGGAACGAGAATCGTAACTGGTACCTCTCAATGACAAAGCGAGCGCTCTTCCTCTATCGGCCACCGCAACCGGTACGGTAACTTTTTTTTTGAACATGTGTTTCTAAAATGGGCGATATGTCGAATTCAAGGTGGAACTAAATTTCAATCAGTGTACCTTAATTGGGATAAAAATATTTACCTGCTGTTCCGGAATACCCAGACACAAAAGTTTAAAATATGTGTCCTCACTTCCGAGCGAAAACGTAGAATATTGAGCAAAAGCCTTTTCTCCATTAAAACGCTGAAGCTCAATCCGAAGTTCCTGGCTCCCATCTTTAGTTAAGGTGTGAATGGCATTGTTTCCTATTGACATAACACAAATCAAAGACTTGAATATAAGAATTGGCATAAATTGCTAAGACCTGAACTTAAAAAAAAATAATACAAAGGATGTTTAACAAATCCTAATTAGATATACATAGGAATTATCTTAAATTTTGAAAGCTATTTTACTATTTAATCATCCAATGACTAGTCATCAAAGTTTTAATAGCTTTTTTATAAACCTAATTTATTTGTAAGTAACCACGAAAAAAAAATCATTCTCATTTATATATCAAAAGCAGGAGCTAAGTTTTAAATTGATACCCGTTACTGTTAAGGTCCAATTTCCCCGTTTTTCTAAATTTCATCAAAAAAATAATTCGCAAAATTGATTTTTATCAACAACAAAAGCATTATATTCAAATGGAAAAGGGTTTGAGGTATGAAGGTAGGCTTAATTTTTCCAACATTAGTTCTATTTCTTCCCATTTGACGCAGTAAGTAGAAAGAGTACTAAAAATGTCTTATACATTATCAGAGCATAAAATGAAAATACTATATGTATATAAAAACAAGCATTCTGAGAGTATTGCATCAGCAATACTAGTCCCCTACCGGCAAGTGTAATCTGGTTCCCGTTAAAAATTGAGAATGCCAAAATTCCGTGAAAAATCAATGAAGCGGAACGAAATGCAAACTTGACCTATGACTCATCAAGGTAAAGTCCCATGACAGACTGACAGACAGACAGATAGACAGAAGGACAGCTAGACGGACAGACAGACGGACGGACAGACTCAGAGGAAACCTATGACCCCTGCGGTTTCACCGGTAGGGGACTATTAACATTAAGTGTCATACAAGTTAAACTCATTTCTGAAAAAAAAAATAATACTGAAGCTATACTTTTTTAAGTCCAAAAAAGCACGTCGTTAATCTATGCTTGTAAAAAAGTTTCCATCAGCAAGACACATTACACTGTAAATAATTTACTTTTAAAGTTCTTATAAAAAAGAAAAATTTTAATTTGTAAACTGGGAACAAGCTGGGTGCAAATGTTTAAAAGTAATATCTCTTGAAAGAGGGACATAAGACCTTAAATTTTGAACATTTGGAACAAGTAAGAGATACTTTGCTGAATGCCTAATATTCTGACCAATATATCGTGATATGTATTTTAGCTGTAAAATACTTTGAGAAAAAATACTTCTTTATACATTGGGGAACTTTGATCTTGAAGAAGAAAGATAAATCATTACTCTCGAATTGTCCTTATAATAACTAGGATAAGATCAAGAAAATATAACAGGATTTTAAAAATAGTTTTTTGAGTGTAATTAGTCTGTTAATCACGAAGACTTATAACGCATGTTCATGTATATGCATATATCATATTTTGAACTTTCATATTTAAATCGACCTATGCCTTCAATAATGCATTCAAGAGTTGAATTAATCCTTGCCCTATATCCTTTATTTCCTACTGTATCTCACTTGCCTTATTGTGACGTCATAGGTGTAGTGGTTTCTACGTGTATATTTCAAATAGTTCATACCGTACTCGAAATTAAGCTTGTATTCAAATCAATAACGTAATTGTTTCAGTATAAAGAAAACAGTAAATGTAAATAATACCACTTACAAACAATGATTGACAGAAAGGAAATTTATCATGTTTAGATGAAACCTTTGCCTTTTTTACACAGTCTTAAACATATAAAAGCATATTTTCCACTTACTGTTGTTTTACAATAAGAAAAAAAGCTTACCAATCCAATAGTTTTTCGTTGGGTTACCAAACCCTTCTTTATATTCTATCCATGTCCGAAAAAAGTCTGTAGAATTGTCCTGTCTTCGTTGAATAGCCTTCAAACAGTACAATTTTTGTCTTATATAGCCATTGCTAGACATTTTATTGAGAGAAAGAAAACAGTCTATATGCTCTGTTTCGAAGATATCCAAAATTAAGTTTCTTCTTTTTTTTTTTTTTTTTTTTTTTGTGGGTAAATGAATTTTAGTATATCGATAACTAATATACACTATTTTAGATATAATATTACACTATGTTAGTTACGACTTTACACTAAGTTGGTTACAACTTTACACTATGTTGGTTACAACTTTACACTATGTTGGTTACAACTTTACACTATGTTAGTTAAACTTTTAAATGCATGAAATTTAACTTACAGTCCAACCCCCTCCATCAGTGCTCATGTCACAATAAACAGCTTTTACTTCAGGAGCTACATATATCTGATATACCCCATCTTTTCCTTGTAAATTCGAATCGTCTCGTAGAAGTTCAAAGCAATTTTCTGTTAAAATATTTATACAGGTGAAAATGGCTGTTCGGATATTTTTTTTTTCTCTGAAAGAGCTCTATTTATTTCTAAGCAAACGGAAATTTCAAAATACATTTTACATATCGTATTTATTTATGTAAATGTATGTGAAATTTCTATGCTAGATTTAGCATAAAAATGTCCAAGCACTTGTTAAAAAGAAACATTTATTACTTACTTTCTGTATTTATTACATCACTAAAATTAAGACATATACCCTAACAAAAATTTACTATAGTTAACTATAGTGAACTATAGTGAAAACTTTGATACTTTCAATTACTATGAAACCTTACTCTATAACTTTTTTGTGAGATTTCAAAGCTTAAAATCTCTAAAATTCGATAACAGTAATAGAATATAGAAATAATATTTCAATTTAATATAAAAATTGTGCAGGTATGAATTGAAAAACAAAAAATATAACGCTCTGAAATCCATAGTAAAAATACTTTGTTTTACAATAGTGAAAAAACTTTGATACTATAGTGAACTATAGTTAACTATAGTTAACTATAGTTAACTATAATTAACTTTTTTCACTTAGGGTAAGCATGCAAATTATTATGACAATCATCAAAAGAGATACATTTCAGAATTTATAATAAATACGATATTAATAAGACGTTTTTGTTCATCTTTTAGGTTCAATTCAATTGTGTATATTTAGCTGCTGCATAGTTTATTTCAGTGTTATTGTTTATGCTCATGATTTAACAGAATGTTCTTTAATACAAAGCACAGTGTTGTTGTTGCTTACATTTGTTTTATTGATTGTTTTAATGAAAGTAGTCACTAACAGATTCAGTTGAATGATTACTTTACATATTATGACAAAATAAATATTTTATTATTTTCGAACACTAAAACAAAAAAAAAAAACAAAAAAAAAAAAAAGGAAGCCTCGGAAATTCCTTTTAGGCTGCGATATTTTCTAAAGCTCTTTATAATAGAAATCGATTAAATTGATAAACATATAGGAACTCAAAGAGAATAGAATTCCCCAATTTTTAATTAAGTCAAAAAAGTTCTCCCTCCGAGTTTGCATTGATTTTTCTTGTAATACAAGTGTCGTTGATACAGATTTCTCATGTGGAGGGGTTGTTCATTTCATCTCTGTAAACAAGTCGTGCAGGTAATTAGAACATAGCTAAAATATACGAAAATGTATATTTGTATTTTCGGGAATTTTGTTGAAAACATACTTTGATGAAAGAACAACCAGTTCTGCGTCTAGCAAAAGAGGGTAGATCAATTCTTAATTAAATCGGTAAAATAGTGAGACTTCATGCCTTTTTTTTGTAATATGAGGAAATAAAACGTATGTACAGCATTACTTCCAATATGTTAGCTGTTTCCTCTAAATATTTATTTAAACTGTCTATATATCGGTTTTTAAGGTCTCCTCCGAAAGTCCCGTGATTTTCACTTTTTGTACCGTTACTACCTATGTTAAAGTTACCTACAGAAACCATCTATGTTAAAGTCTTAGGTTTGACGCCGCACACCGAAGGAGAATCGAACCAAGCCGCCCGATCAAGAAGCGAGCGCCCTTCCACTAGGCTACCGTGATCGGATTTCTCGTAGTGGAAATTTTCAATCGATTCATATGGATACGCCGCCACTTGCTGGGGGAGGACTGGAAACTCAGACCTATACCCAATTCTTATGAAGCAGAAGTTATTGAAAACCTTCAACAATGGAAGAAAAAAACACACACTTGCTGTGGCCTTCATCTCATTTAGATATATCCACGATGTATTATCAATTAACAATAGTTACTTTAATTCATATGTCGATTCGATAGATCCGAGTGAACTTGAAATAAAAGATACCACACAGTCTGACACATCTTTTTCATATTTGGATGTTTTACTGACTATGGGCGAAAAAGTGCCAACTAGCAATCAAATTGTATGGAAAACGAGATGACTTCAACTCTTCAATTATCAACTTTCCTTATTTAAGTAGGAATAGCCTGCTATCACTCACATATGGTGTTTACAGCTCCCAACTTACATGTATTCGATACTCATAGCATGCTCTGAGTACGATCAATTTTTAAACCGAGGCAGGCTACTGACATATAAGTTGATGTTACATGGATTTCAATAACCTCGTTTAAAGTCGGCATTTTGTAAATTCTATAATCGTTATAATGTCTGTGCTAGCAAATATCATTGGGACGTAGTTTGGTTGAATTAAGATTTTTTGAGATAGACCACTCTTCGTTATCTTCACCATTTCACTTCAAAAGTATGATGATTCATATGAACCATGAAGAAAATAAAGTGAAGACATTTTTCAAGCAAAATTAAGTGCTTTAAAGTACACTAGTAAAGGAAAATACATTACTTGTTCTATCAAACAGTTTATAACTTTAAAATTACATTATTTCTATGCTTCCTTTACATTTTCAACTATGTATGCATTACTGTACATTTTTTCTTATATCATTGTGATTCAAAGTAAACGTCGGGAAATAAAAAAAATGTGAAAAAAAAAGATTATAAGAAATAACACATCATTGCAAAATCAACTTATGTAAGTATCGTTATCTATAAATTAAGATGAATAAGTATAATTGCACGACAATGTTTTATCTCCTTTATCATTTCAGAATATATTTAATCAGCTAGAAGAAATTCTGTCTTTAAACAGCAAAGTCCATATAAGCTTACCTCGTAAAACTTGAACACATTCACCATGAATACAGATCGAGCCGTTGTTACATGAATGATTGAGACAATCACCTCCAACAGCCTAAGGTTATACAAATATAAAAATTACTTGCATATCAGTTAAATCAAGTTGAATTTTATTAAATAGATTCTGAAGGAAAATAACCCCAGCTTTCCCTACCGTCGGGAGGTCCTTTCGGTCGATATGGATACTGCGCGTTTTAGTCGGAGGGAGAGTTGAACTATTGGTGACATATTTCGTATTCAATACACAAGTTCTTTCAATCTGGCTCCAGTCAACTGATTGACAGAGTGTAAATTTATAGCAAACCACCATACACATTGTAAGACTTCCGTTGGACAGAACTTTAAATTCTGACCCAACTTCTTTAGAAGAGTTATCAAAGCTTTTGATTAAAGAAGTCTCCGGATTAAAACACTGACAATAACAAGTCCTAATCACTCCAAAAACTAGCCAAGTGAAATGAAGTATCTTCATTATAGCATTTGGCATTAAACAATGCATTTTAGACGTACAGATACGGGAATTACAATCCTAAATAATTTCAACACTTCAGTTTAGAAATATATATAAGGTTATTTTTTTTTTCATAATTAGTTTTAACTCATTGGATCTACGTCAACATATCTATGAATAATAAGTTCTATTTTAGCAGTAAGTGTGGTTTTATCTAAAAATCAAGAAAATCAATATTGACTTCAGTTTTGAAACATATACAAGGTTAATTATTTTCATAATTATGTAACGTATTTACATTAAACTCAGGGGTCGTACCTGGTCATTTCCAGGGTTTGGGGTGTTCAACATTAAATGATTGGAAATAATCGGTATAATTTCAGTGGACTGCCGAAATATACAAATATGTCCTAAACTTATCTACTTTAACAATAATCAAATGGTAAACCACTATAATAATCAGAGGTAAGTAACAATTAAATACTGTGGAATCACCATTGTTCGTGGGGGACCAATGTTCGTGGATTTCGTGGGTCACCCTTACCCACGAATTTACATCCCCACGAACGTTTATTTTGTAAACATATTGATTAATTGAATCTACCGTATAAACGAGTAACCCACGAAATTACGTCCCCTCGAACAAGTAAAATTTTGCTTGTCCACGAACATTGACCCCCACGAAATAAAATGATTCCACAGTAACAGGTAGTCCTAACCTATTGCTAACACTAAAAAAAGAGCCCTCAGACTATCCCACATACTGTAGGATGCCTTATTCAGGACGGACAGTATATGTGATACCCTTCAACCACTACACTCACTGTAGGATACCTTATTATGGACGGACAATGAGTATAGCGGCCTGGACAGACTAGTCAGCCAATGCAGACAATATTACAAACTATATGGCTAGCCTCTTTACTGGAAGACAACCTCGTCGTGGCAGGCCTTATAACTGGTTTGCCAAACCTCAAATGGCCTTCCAAATTCACTCTCAAACTGTAAAAACAGGCGAAGAATTAATCATGAACACTTTCTTTACTGCAGTCTTCAGAACACTTACAATCGTCTTCTCTTCTCTCCTTGGCTGCATCCGCAAAATAACCACAGGCGGCTGCGGAGTCTCGGTATCATGTCAGGTGATGTACATGTAAACAGTGACTAACTGAGAACCCCGCTTGATCATGCTTCAAAATTCCAGAATCATTACAATAACTTTTTGATTCATTGGATCTACGTCGACATATCCATGAATAATAAAGTTCTATTTTAGAGTAAGTGTGATTTTATCCAAATATTATGAAAATCAATATTTACTGAAATATTTGCTGTAGGAAATTTTCAATGTTACCCCCAGTTACATGCAGTATTTATATATTAACCTCAGGCCAAGATTTACTTATCGAAGTCTAATTTCCAAACAAAACGTTTTTTTTCTTTGTGATATTTCTTTTATTGAAAGAATGACCATGGCATGTAATTTTTAATTAAAATATATCTTATTGTTGTACAAACCTCAATAATCTCTTTTTTGACCAGTCATTCGTATCTTTCCGCATCGTGGAAGTATTTGATGTCATACGTGTATCGCAATCAAGATAAATGCGGTGATTTTATTTAAGAGTAAGGTGGCTTATTGATTCAGATCTATTCTGCCCTACATTAGCTATATTCATTTAAAATTTAATTCCTGCAAAAGTCACAACTGGTTTATCTTTATTTGTTATCAAACCATTATTTCAAGTGAGAAATTATATCTCTAATAATCAATAAATAAAGAAAGGGACATTTGCCACAACCAAAAGTTAAAGCCATTTTGACATTTGTTTTAATATCTCAAATGCAAACGAAAAGATTTGTTTTACTTTACATATGTATGACATGTGTAAACAAATGCTTGGACATGTAGCAAGATAATGACTGTAAGTATACTTTTGACAAAGGTGTTATTTTAATCATATTATGATAAGCTGTATGTACATGTAGTAGTATGATTATAGATTTAGCTTAGAATTAACAATTCCTGACACTATCTCTAATTCTCCTCTTCGTCATTTTAAATACATTTTGAAACACTTTCATTCTATTACAAAAAAGGACTTATGTTTTCCTAGTTGTTGCTTTAAATTCATTTTTTTTTTAATAAATAAAGGAGAACAATATTTTTCCGGTATTATTTTATCTCCTGTGAGATACTTTTAAAAGCACACTAAATATGACAACAACAAATAGTAGAAGAAAAAATACAAACTTAAACGTAAACATCACATTTTCCCGATCCATCGCTTGTATTTTATTCATATATAGAAGAACTGAGAGGGCAAATAGACGTACAAAGGCTCTAGAAATTGAAATATGTCAACAAATATTCCAACAGATTTCTAGAGGAAAATAAAAAAAAATGGGTCTTATGAAAAACTCTTCCAAACCAATAGAAATTGTTCATGGAGATGACGTCATCACTTAAAATACCATAGTGTAACAAAAGTGGAAGAAGAACTTTCGAAACCTTTATAACATGTCTGATGACACAGAGTTCAATGATACCATCTGTTTCAATCCAGACGTTACAAAGAATTCCTTGAAACCAATATGCTTAACTTCAAGCACCAAGCAGATGATCAAGTTAACAGAGCTATATCTATAGGGAAAGTTACAAGAGTGGACCTCAAGTCAAGAAAGGTTCTACGAGTGGATAAAAATATCTTAGTGTGTACTGAAGAACCTCTCAATGATAGGAATTCTACAGAAATTATTCCAGTTAATATTTAATAATAGTATGATTCCATTTACATGGAGACAGGTCATTATTAGTCCAATCCTTAAAGATCCTAGCTTTGACAAAAGAACTCCACTTAATTACAGGTGTACAAGAACTAATTGAATTACTTTCATAAAAGAAATAAAATTAGGTTTCAGTGTTCATTATATTTTAAACTAGTCCTCTCCGATTTTAATGTACATCTACCGCCGTTCTGCCCATGCGCGAATCACATGATCCAGGCGGTCAATGACATGCTCCGTACCGTTCTCTTCACAGAAGCAGAAAGATGTTTCCGAGTCTTATATTTTTTACCATGCAAATTATTCTTGATAAGAAGAACAGTCCATTTGTCAAAAATGACCAAATCTCGGCAATAGGATGGTTGGATAAGGTTATCCTTCCCCAGAATGAGCATGGTGACCATCACAACCCGAGTCCTCTGTCTTGGGATCGTCGTTTATCAAATGTGGATAAAGTATTGCCGCCTTCTTTTTATCATATCTGATATGTTTAAAGTCTGAAGTAAACGATATTTCAGGGATTCAATAATTATATTAATATGTATGACTATCTGTATGCCAAATATCATTCTGATCTGAATCGTGGTTTTGTAAATATAGAGATAGTTCGAGAACTTTTTGATCACCCCTCGTACAAGTCTTCTGCCCTGCATTAGCAAAGTTTACAGTGCTATAATAAACACAAGACTGACAGCATTTTTTAATGACAGGAACATACTAGCAAATGAGCAGAATGGTTTCTGACAAAGGCGATCTTATGAAGATCATGCATTTGTGTTGAATAGTATATATATATATATATATATATATATATATATATATATATATATATATATATATATATATATATATATATATATATATATATATATATATATATATATATATATATATATATATATATATATATATAAAGCACTAAAAACCAACAACACTGTATATCCTAAGTGTCGGATCTACTAAGTAGATACAAGGTCACGGATATATATATATATATATATATATATATATATACAGATCTAATGAAAAACTTTTGTTTAATAATTGAGGATATTATTTCCATACATTGTTACGAGATTTGTCATTGGTTCGTTTGACATCACGTGCCAAGGTATATAAATGCGGATAGACCTGTACTTTCTAATTATAAAATTTAAAAACTCGGATAGACCCGGACTTTCTAAAAACAGATACATCAAATCCTCTTGTAATTGAGATATATTTGTGATATTTATTTCAAACAAATTTAGCATTTCAATATTTTACATTCCTTAAATTTTTCCTTAAGAATGAAGGAAACACAATGGTATGAAAACAGTTTATTTTGTTTAGATGTCTAGTGTCTATTTGTAAAAAAAAAAAAAAAAAAAAAAAAAAAAAAAAAAAAAAAAAAGAAGGAGAGAGAAAACTTTGTACCTCCTTTTCAAATTAAATTTGTTCTGTCAATCTCTTTAAGAATTAATATAACAAATGTAGCCCTTTCATTTGTTTAATCCATAGATATATCGACTTCTCTGAAAAACATATTGACCTCGCATTTCGTGCTCGGTCGATACGCTTTTCTGTGAAGTCGATATATCTATGGATCGACCTTATAAAAGGGTTATATTTCTATAAGGGCCACAATATTGAAATACAAATGTTGTACAAATAAGACCTAGTTATTTTACTTTAAAATATGTACACTGTATACTCAATCTTTTTCTTTAAGTATGGAGATAACGAACAGTAAACACGGACCTCTAAAAAATCAGATGTCGGATTGGGTGCCATGGAGGTGGAGGAGTATGCATTCCCTGCCGACCGGTCACAGAAAATTTGGCTTAAATACAGAACGCTTCTTACTCCGGATCCACAATTCTAATATACAGGTGATACACACGTATCAGCAGAGCATTGCCTTCTAAAATTGATTTGAAATTGAAACCTGGTTATCGATGTTTACAGGGACCTATATCAGAGAAGTGTTTATCATTAAAATCTTTTCATTTTTGTTACATCGCGGTTCGTTTATTTCTATGGTTTACTGCAAGTGAAATATTTCCAATGGGAATAATTTTGTACTGCACAGTCATTACTTTTTCTTTTAATTATCCATATTTTCAAATCAACTGTAGAATTATGACATTAAAGAAACAAAGGTTTAAGTACATACTATCCATTTGATTTTATAATTCAATATTACGCTTGACAAATCTTAAAACAACCCGGTACTTTTCAAATAATTAATGCAAATAGTGATCATGTAAAGTTATCACATGAAAACACAATCATCATTAAAATTTTTATAGATAACCACTTTGAAAAACCGAAAAAGCTGGTCCTTACATTAAAGATTTACTAGTGCAGAAGTTTTGTTATGCATAATGACCTTTAATGACCTTTAACGAATGCTCCTTAATTGAAGACTCAGATCAATCGAAATTTAACAAAAGATCAGCCATTTTTTTTTTCCCAAGTCATTTATCGTATTGTTAAAACGATTTGTCTGAATGGACGACAAAATCACTAATTTCATCGATATGAAATTGAGTACCCAACCTTATATTTCAGAATTGTCAGCAAGAAAAAATCTGGAAAATCTGTTAACATTGTAAAAATAGAAGCGACGATAGCGAGGGAGACGCAGCGAAGACGAAGAAACTCGCCATCACAATACAATTTGATTTGTCATCATATCACATGTATTTGATTCACATATGTATTATTAAGGTCTTCTGTTTCCAACGGAAGACCTTCTACTGATTCTGATGATTAAGATTATTCTTATTATTCTTTTTTTTTCCTAGACGCCAACTTTGAAGCTTCATATCTTCCTCATTTCTGAACGGATTTTGTTCAAATTTTCAGAGCTTTTAGACTATACAAAACACTCTCAGAATACTGTAATACAATTCGGAAATTACCTTCTGTTCACGAGTTATTCCCCTTTGATTGAAATTTTTATGCCTCTGGTTTCCAGACAAAGGCTCTGAAACTGTAATAATTGGAGCGCAAAACCCTTTGAAATTGAAAAGAAGAAGCATTGAAGGTGTGCACATCGGTTTTTTTTTTATTTTTTGCACTAAAAATGGCGCTAGAGAGGTGTCAAAAGTTAGAACGCGGAAAAGAGCAAAAATTATGACATATTTTCCTTTATATCTTTAAAACTAAAAATATTTTGTTAAAACATGTAGAATAAAAGTTGTGTATAATATCAAGAACTTTCATTTGATATCATTTAAAAGGGGCTGGCCCCCAAAATGAGGGATCTAGAGCCCTTAAAAGTTTTCGTTTTATAACTCAGAAACGGTAAATATTTCGATGTGGCTTTCGGAACTAAAGTTGTTCTTTAACACCTTATTAATCTCATACAAATGTTGTTTTGTTCGAGTATTGCGTAATATGTCGTAATATGTAGGTAAAAAGCAGGTCCCGTAAACGGGTAAGCGTTTTCATTCGGCAAGTAAATCAGAACTCTTCATGTGTATAACTTTAACAAACTTCCAATAAATTATATACCCTACTGTATTTAATGCTAATTTTCTTCTAAATAAGGTTTTAAACGTGTTCTGTGGTTCACTCATAAATTATTTTTTACAACTTTCTTTTCTTTTTTAATTTAGATTTAAAGGGAACACGTCTTCAAATAAAAGAAGGAATTAAATGTAACTATATAACTATATAAAACGCATTCCAAAATCAAAACAGAAAATCTTTTTTTCTGTTTTAGGCATTTTGCCCTTAGGTATTGACAAAATCCAACAAAAAACACAGTTTTATAGGATATTTATTG